GGTCGCTATGAGTCGGAAATGACTCGACGGCACATAACAACAACAACAACAACATAATAAAATTTTGTCTTTTTGAATTAGAACTTCCAGTGATATCCCAAAGAAAACAGATACTATTTATGAAGCTCTGTCTTTCCTTCAATAATACATATATTCCCACAACTATTACATGCAAAAAAACGGGCTAGTCATAAAATAGAAATCTCAAAGCAAAAGCCTTAAAAGGGAAACTGCTGGCTTTGGCTTATAGGAAATATTTTAAAATGTTCCTTATGAAACATGCTTTCATGGAGTCAGTGAGTTTTGGGGTGTGGATGATAGATATTAACTCAGTAGTGAGGTTCACAAAGATTTGAACATTTAACTATGAGTCAGCATCCTCAGGCTAGGATTATTCTCTGTCATCACTCTGTTTTTACCATACAATAATAAATAGGCTGTCAAAGCTAAAGAAAAAAAAATTGTGAGGCAAAAGGTATATTTTAGCAAGTCCATATTGCCATTGGCTCAGTGTCTAATTCAAATATATGGAATTCTTTGCTATTTATTGGTTGTTTTTGTATTGGGTTTTTGTTTGGTTGGTTGGTTTTGTGTTTGTTTTTTTTTTTTCCAGAATTCCTCTAGTGCAAGTAAGCTCACTTCAAAAATTATTCCTTTAACACTTAAAGATGGGTGAATGAATATAGCTGCTTGGATGTTTAAAATTCTAATTAAGCTTGAATGTGTGTGTGTGTGTGTGTGTGTGTGTGTGTGTGTATAATAGTTTTGTATTCATTTCCTATTCAGACATTTAACAATTTCTAATGGTTCATTTTCTTTGTACATAGGGTCCATCAGGGATGTATTCTGTCTCCATACCTTTTTAATCTGTATGCATAACAGATCATACGAGACGCTGGGCTGTACGAGGAGGAATGTGGCATCAGGATTGGTAGAAGAATCATCAACAACCTGCGTTATGCAGATGACACAACCCTGCTTGCTGAAACTGAAAAGGACCTGAAGCGCTTGCTGCAGAAGGTCAAGCACTGCAGTCTTCAATATGGATTGAAGCTCAACCTCAAGAAGACAAAGATTCTCACCACTGGGCCAATTAACAGTATCGGTATGGATGGTGAAGAGATTGAGATAGTTAACAGTTTTTGTCTACTTGGCTCCACAGTCAACACTCTTGGTAACAGCAGCCAGGGAAAAAGACAAATTACATTAGGAAAGTCAGCTGTGAGGGACCTCTCAAGAGTACTGAAGAGCAATAACATCAGGCTGGAGACTAAGGTGCACCTGATCCAGGCTATAATCTTTGTAATTGTGTGCTATGCATCAGAGAGTTGGACAGTGAATAGGGATGATAGAAAGAGAATTAATGCCTTTGAGCTGTGGTGCTGGAGAAGAGTGTTCACTATACCATGGACTGCTAGTTTGTCCTGGAGAGGGTGAAGCCAGGCTTCTCCTTGGAGTCAAGGATTCTGAAGCTTCGTCTGACATATTTTGGGCATGTTGGAAGGAGGGACTGGTCCTTGGAGAGGGACATCATGTTTGGGAGAGTGGAGGGACGGCGTAGCAGAGGAAGACCCTTGATGAGATGGATCAATTCTGTGAGTAGAGTGGTGGGAATGAGTGTGTTTGAGATGGCGAGGTTGGCACAGGATAGAACGGCGTTTAGGGCTCTTGTACATAGGGTCACTATGAGTTGCAAGCGACTCAATGGCACATAACAACAACTACAACAATGGTTCATAGTTCATTTAGTAGATTTAAAAAAAAATTCTACAGATTCCACTTCAGACAATGGTATTACTGGGGGTATGGGGGATATAAGGTGAAAACACCAGAAATGATTTTTTTCATTACTTAGATAAAATAACAAGATATTTATATCATTTCAAAATGTTGTTATTGAATTCCTGAAAAAGAAAAACTTACCCCAAAAGAAGAAACTTTAGTAGGTAAGAAGTGCACTGTAATCATAAAGGCACATGATTCAAATCCAGTGACCCACTGGAGAAGAATGAGCAATATATTCCTTTGCAAGCTACGGGTCTGTTCTGATTTGATGGCAAACACAACAACAATCAACTGCCATCTCACAAGCGACCCTCTAGGTGGTATTTGGAAACTGTATTATTATATGTATGAAGATTGTTGTAGATTCAAACTGCCAGAGAGATGTGGCCTTTCAGCTGACAGCTCACGTCTCTACATGACTGTGCTACAAGAACTTTCCTATCAGAAACTCTAGGTGCCAAAATTAAGAACACATGCATCCATTCCTTTAAAAAAGGAATGAAAAAAGGGTCAATTAAATTGCATTTTGAATTGGTTGTCATTAGAAGTCAGTTTCAAACTGCTCAACTGACCAGTAACTACAACATGCAGTTCTATCCTTGAACCCATTGTTGTAGCCATAGTGTCAGTCTCTTCTTGGAAGAATGGTGTCTTTTTTCTAAGGATGGACCCCCTCCTGGTAACATGTCTATCAAATCATAGGCTCAATTCTTTCACAGGACTATGAGGCAATTGAAAATACCATAGTGTGAGTATGTCAGGTGACATCCTTACTCTTTAACGCTTTAAAGTGATACTTTAAATTTAAAGTGACTTTTTTTTAAAGTGACTTCTTGACTGTTGCTTTCATGGGTGTTTATTCTGCATCTAAATAGAATGAAATTCTTGACAACTTCAATTGTTTTATACATTAGTTTTACCCATTCATTTGCTTTACCCAGTTGTGAGAATATGTGCAACTCATACTGACATACTGACAGTCCACATGTCACTGAACTTATGGGAATGACTGTTGATTGCATGGAAGTTTCTTGCGTACGCCAAATATCCATGAAGCTCACACCAATTTACACAAATTAGAAACAGATGGCATGTTTAAAACTCTAAGAAACTAGCCAGATGCCCATGTGATGAAAGCTGGGGTAAATTAGCCTGCAAATTTTAAGCCATTGAAGAGTAGTAGGCCACACAGCAGTCCCTTGCATGCAAGAAGACAAAGAGCTCCTCTGATCAGGAGGATACACACTCACCACAGATCTCTAGTTGCTCCCTGGCCTTTATAAACTTTTCCAGCTGCTCACATTATTCTCTCGCTTCTGTTAGAGGATCCACTAGTTCTTCCTTTTCTTTCTCCTCCTTGTGCTCCAGCCCTATGTCTCGCTTAGTATTAAATTTAAAAAGAGCAGCAACAGAGGCTCCCCTTCAGGACCAAAGTGGATTTGTCCTTTGATAAGTCATGATCACCTTAAGGACAATGTATCTTATCTATATTCCCACATCTAATAATCCCAGAACATTTAATCGTGCTAATTCGAAACCTATACTTGGACCAAGAGGCAGTCATCAGAACAGGGGAGGGTAACACTGCATGGTTCAAAATTGGGAA